ATCCCAATTTTATATTTATATAATTCTTCTAATTTTATATTTATATTTCTTCCAAATTTAAATTCATATTTTTTCCAATTTTATATTTATATACTTCTTCTAATTTTATATTTTATATTTCTTCCAATTTTGCATTTATATTTATCCCAATTTTATATTTATATTTCTTCCAATTTTGCCATTTATATTTCTTCCAATTTTGCATTTATATTTATCCCAATTTTATATATCTCTCCCAATTTTTATATACACATTTTATTCAATTTTGTTGGGAACTTTACTTTACAGCTATTTATACATTTCCCCCGATTTTTGTAATATTTAAAGCGTAACACGTCTTTCGATAAAATTTCGAATTCCACAAGTTTGCGATCCTAACGATCCAGAATAAAGCGTTTGATAGTTGCTGGATAGTAACATGCATGTGCTGTAGTAAACGAAACGAGATCTGGCTTTCTAGCTCTTGATCATCAGATTGTACATCTGTCTCCGCCGTGAGAGTGGAAAATGAATAGAGACTGTATTATACATTTGGGACTGCGTTATGCAAAACCACTCGGAGATCGAATTCTTGGAACGTGGATAAATTTCCACCGAGCGAATAGTCCGAGCGTTTTCCGTCAAATAACCTGCAACCTCAGTTAAATAAATCTCCGGAGTGCGACGATGCAAAGAGGAAAAAAGGATCGACGAACGTGCGGACAAATATTTCCGAAAATTGTTGCGACTCTAGGAAGACGAACGAACGTTTACCTCCGTAAACGTGGTAATATTAACGATCGAACGTATGTAATTTGAAAATCGCGGTTTGTTAACACGTTCCAGACTGTGTCGGTCCCCACGGACCGACGACCCGCCATTCGTTCGGCCGGTGTCGGTCCACGGGGACCGACGCTAGAAACATTCGTTTAACTTAATGCACATTTTATCGAGTCTGAGAGATACACTTGATTTTTATGAATATAAAAAATATACGTGAAAAGAAACTATTATAATTTATACACGTCTCGTAATTCACCTCGTCAACATTCGCCACGATACTAACAACTGCAAAGAAACCCCATCCGCATTACGAGCAACGATATTATTAATCAACTTCCTGCCTGACTATCCTGCAATAAAACCGCTCTCGCCGAGATTATGCATCATTGAGGGACTTCCAACTACCTAAATCCCGAACTACCTTCCTCACTGCAAATCCTTCCAAGGTACTTAGCCTTTTCCAAAAATAACCACCGCGGTTGGAGGGCAACCATCCCCGTGAAACATCGTGAAAACCCAGCAGCCCTTGACGTTCTTCCGACTATCGCGCGAAATTGCTGGGGAACCGCCCCTAAAGGGGCTAACGTTTAAATAAAACACCCTGGTCGTGGAATTAGGACGATTCGGTACGTTTTTCAAGACCCGACGGAATATTTCGAATCTTACATTCGAAGATTGAAGAGTCTGACGGAGTCTTGATCGTTAAAGTTTCGTTAATCAACGATGTGTGACGCACCTATTTCTTTTTTTCTTTTTTTTTTTGTTATCATTTCTAGAACAGAATCGCCTATCAAGTGTCCACTATCAAGTCTTTTCAGAAGGAGATTCGTTTAAATTTGCAAACTGCTTGTGATCCTGGATCACTCGTGAAAGAGAAAGGCAAAAATATATTTTTACATATTTAAAATATATTTTTATATATTTAAATGTATCTGTATATTTATATCATCTTATGTTTCATCAAAATATATTTTTATATATTTAAATGTATCTGTATCTTTATATCATCTTATGTTACATGCTATTATTATATTATATTATTTATATTATTTTATTATTATATTATGTTATATTATATCGCGGTGAACCACTCCCAGAGCAACGTGAAATAAAATTCTTAATCATGGAATTAGGACCGCACGGTGCGTTTTCACACTGTTGAAATATTTCCAACGAGAAATGACGAGTCTGAAAGGAAACCTAATCGCTAAAGTTTCGTTAATTAACGAATTACGCATCTATTTTTTATCCATCTTTCTGGATTCCATCTTTAAACTGTTTATAAGTTTATAACTCTGGATCACTCCAGTGTGTCGAAAAGCAAAAGTATATTTCTTTCGATTTTAATATAATATGCAACACAATAATGAAATATATCACTTTTGTATTATATGTAATATATTTCGTTACATGATACAACTTACTCGCGATATAATATGCAACATAATAATGAAATACATCATCTTTGTATTATATGCAGTATATTTGTGTTTATGTCACTTTTGTATTATATATAATATATTTCGTTATATAGTACAACCTACTCGCGATATAATATGCAACATAATAATGAAATATATCATCTTTGTATTGTATGCAGTATATTTGTGTTTATGTCACTTTTGTATTATACATAATATATTTCGTTACATGATACAACCTACTCGCGATGTAATATGCAACATAATAATGAAATATATTTTTATATTATATACAATATATTTCATTATATAATACACTATACTTGCGATATAATAATGAAATATAATATACATATATTATACATATTTCATACGCAACGATCTATATGTACACATCATACATATGGATATATATATATATATATA